CAATTTGCAATGCTCACCTCTTCAGTCATGCAGGAGGCACAACCACAGCACGTTGTTCAAGAATCTTAACTAATCGGCCATCCATACTTTCGCTACCAAGAAACTTCTGCCACTCGAATGCGGATAAGAGTCTCCTATCTGGGTATATCCGCAACAAAAAGGTTGACAGAATACTTCAGGGCCAGGGTACAAAGAGTGTCCCGTCCGGCTATCGTTTCAATGACGCTGTTAATTAAGGAATGTCTGAAGATAGCGCCCTCCATAGGAGTGTGGCCAAGAGATCACAGGACCCGACACAGTCATGACAAACGAAAATGGGGTCTGGCGTGTTAATTTAATTAAGAATCGATCTATTCCCCCAGCTGATTAGGGTATGCATGTGCAAGTGGCCAAAATAGCCGCACAACTGATAAATCCCCGATAAATCGGGATTTTTAGATATTTTACTATAAATACGGAACGGATTGGGTGCGGCAGTGATTCACACAGCCAGTGAATCATTTTGCTTAGAGCTACGGGCCACTAAACACGGAAGACATTTCGATGTCAAGGCCTGGAGCACCGATCTGGGAGACACCTCCCCCATTCACTTAACGAGCACATTAACTGTTAATTACACGCTGCTGCTGCTGCTGCTGCGGCTGCTGCTGTTGTTCCAGTGTCGATTCTATCATTATCCGTTGATCCAAAGAGCGCGGTGCTTTGCGAACAGTCACTATTAGGTAACAGGCAGTGGTCGACTGCCAGTCGAGGGATTAGCCAAAGGCCCACATAAAGCAGGGGAGCACCGCACCTGATAAGGCGCCAGCCTAAATATAATTCGCCTGCTCTACAATCACTAAACGATACAATGTCAAGTGATTTGTACAGTGGCACAGTGCGAAGGCATACTCGTTGGGTTCTGCCAAGTATCAGATTGACTTTCAGTGATTTATATCTCATTTATCTTTGATTTACACTGCAACAGCCAGCAGAGTGCACGACTCTCATGGATGCCCCCATTTCGATAACGAGGCTCGCGAACGTATGGAATTCCGCTATCCAAACCAAACCGATGATTGGTGGGGTGGGGGGGGCAGGGCGAGGGAATGTTATCACTTTCGGATTGTATCAAATCAAACCGATAATGCTATTTCGAGGGACTTACAGTATCGCAGGCTTGGCCTGTTCCACTAATCACGGCCAGCTTCATTGTTTGCGCCGATTGGAACTGGATTCCACACAATACAGATCCGAATTAGTAGCAATTAAATCAAGTATACGACTGCCGCCGCGTGCAGTGGTGTTGTTTGTACAGCGATTGGTGATCACAGAATAAAGACGCGAATCTGAACCGACATTCAATTTAAAACAAAAGTTAACAAAGCACTCAGGGGAGAGCAAATCTGAGCGCAACTCCGCCTCCGTCTCCTTCAGTTAAAAGCTCTCGGAACCCGCTCGAGAGACGACAGACACCCCTCTGAAGCACTTGCACACATGTACTTGGCAATGGACGCGGTTTAGCATTAACATTAAACATCAAAACATTAGCATTGAAATCGAGTATGAATAGAGTGTAGAGTGGATGTCACAGGTGTGCTGTGTGCTGTGCTGTGTGTGTTGGTTGGCCACGCTCGTCTAGTCTCTTTTATTGCAATTCCATAGTCGCGGCCCCAGACACCAGAACGTGAGAAATAGCTCAACAAAAACTCATAGATGACAAAGTTGCCAGTGCTCCCGCTCCCCCGAAAAACAGATAAAGATACAGACACAGAGACGAGAAGATCTTTTACGCCCAGACATATGTGGCTATCTGCCGCTCAGATTAGGAACAGTAGTTGGTGGCAGATCACTTCCCCATAGATCAGGCCAAAAAGCTCTAACCAAAAAACTGTATGCAACTTACATGCTCGTACATGCACCTCCAAGAAGCAGAACAGAGCCAACAAAATTCCAAGACCTTGCCACAACGAACCTTCTTTCACCCTGACCAAACGGGTACCAACTGCGGATTCAAAACATCAGATCAGTGGTTCACAGCTAGATTCTAGAGTCGACTCATTGCCCACACCCATACCCACAAGCGGAGGAATTGTGTCACTCTCAATTCCCATTTCCTTCATTCGAAACAAACGAAAACCATAATATAATAATAATAAATCAGCACTCATTTGGGGAGCAGATTAGTGATCCCGTCCAGTCCCAAAATGGGATTCGCATAATGCCTAAAACTGTATGTTTAGACCCACAAATTGAGAATAACAAAGTAATTTTTCAATTGAGAATCCCATCAAAAGTACAGCCACAGCCACAGAACAGCCACAGCCACAGCATGGTATGATATGATATGATATATGGGTTCCATGGCAAAAAGAATTTCCCATTTCACGTGTTCTGTTGCTGTTGCTGCTGTTGCTGTTGCTGAATGGAAAGTAAAAGTGGGGGTATTATCGAGGCCAAAGGGCAGTCGACCACCTGACTCTGGAGGGTGACAATGCGAATGGGAATGGGCATTTGCATGGGTATAGGAATGTGAATGAAGCATCTCCATGGACATGTCTCTGTTCATTTGGCACGTGTTCCATTGTAATGGACAAGCACTCGCCAAGCCAAGTGCTGGGACAAGTTCATGGCGAAACCAATTTTCCCTTATTGTGGTGTGTTTACCTCTCTACGGGCGAGAATGTGGGTGCTTGTGTGTGTGTGTGTGTGTGTGCTGCCATACAGTCGAGCAGCGGTAGGCACGTCCTTACTAACAAGTGTGCCCATCGCTCAGATTGACGCTCGGCTCGACACGCTCGAGCGAATGATTCAAAAGAGAACTCCCGGGAATGGCAAAAACCGCATACATTGTGTGTGCATGAAGCCTCCAGATTGATGCTGATTGGGCTTTATATTGTTATTTTTTTTTCCGCATACTCGAAATGCCTTCATCCGCAGCAGTAGAGTAGTTTACTCCAGCAATTAGCAAAAAGATTGCTTGTTTTTTTTTAGTTTTAGCATGCAATTATCAGTCGGCCAATTTCTATATTTATCCACAATTAGTTGTTTTTTTCTATGGAAATTTGTCACGTTCCATTATGAAAATTGGCCTCAAATCGATTAAAATTGTGTCGCTGTCATAGCTAATAAATACGAGCAGTACATCCTCATTTGGAAAGCATTTAATCTGAAAAATCACACCTCAAAGCCATTCGTTTTATGACGTCAGATGGGGTGTTTTTCCTATGGAATATGTGGCCTATAAACAGCCCAAAATTGGCTTCACAGTAAGCCAATAAACAGCGATTATATGGGCTCTAAGTGGTGCTAAATGGCAGTAAAAGAGAAGCAAAAGAGTCAACATCTGGACGATCATCTCTTTTGAGCGTACCGAACCCGCCCGCGTCATTGGGTTGATTAAATTCGAGCTTCCCTTCCCTGATGTGCACGTGAATCATGGACGAGAGCTGTCTGGCCAAATGGTTTGGCAACGTCACCGCCAAAGTCAAGAGTGGATAGACGACGAAAGAGAGCGACTACGTCAGAGCCCCAGTCGAGATGGCGATGGAGCGCCGTCTTCTGACCGGTTCGACGGATACCCCATACCCATGCCCCATTGGAGTGGTGCAGGCTGGCTTTCTGCTTCACCGGAGGGATACGATACGAGTACGGCATATGTAAGTACGGTATATAGGGTAGATGACAGCCCCAAAGACATAATCGCAGCGACAGGGAGACACAAACTGTGGCACGCGGCGTATGCGCAATGCATGCGAATGGTGCGAATGCGTGCTCGGCCACGTACCCGTAAATCGAGATCGGAGGAAGGCCCACCACTGCCACCGACGACTGAAGTCTGCAAATAAAATTTCATTTGGCCAAGTTAGCAGCAGGCGGCAGGCCGAAGAACACCCTCCCCCTGCTCACACCGCCCCGCCCATTAACCGGTTGCCCGCTGAGAAAGTGCATTAAGCCATCGCATCGCTTCGCATGGCATCGAATCGAATCGAATCGATTGCCGCTTGTCCCCCTGCTTGCAGAAAAAAAAACAAAAAAACATGTTAATTGCAGTTGCAGTAGCCGTGCAGTGCAGTGCAGTGCCACAGGTAGCTGTGCCAGCCACACACTCGCAGTCTAGTCACTGGACAGCACTTACTGGTTCTTTTGTGGTCTTGCCATATGGCCGTAGCAGCAGCAGAAGCAGCCAATGCCCGAGGGGCGACACGATACGACGACAGGCAGCCAAATATTTGGCAACGACTCTGTGCCAAGACAGGAAAGTGGCCCACGGAACGGAACGGGACGCGGAGAGAGGAGTCTTGATGCTGATGATGATGATGGTTACATGAAACATGAAGTGTGTCAGCCAGCAAGCCAGCCAGCCAGCCAGCCACAACGATGATACCTTTAAACCAACAGATGGTGGAGAGCCACGGAATCGGGAATACTTTGGGTACTTAGGGTACCAGATCCGATTGATAGATCTCAGTGGATCACACTGTGGATATAGCAATTAGTTGCGTCTAGGATGTGGCAGCTCTTGATAGCTTACGGTGCGCGGGGGGCATGCTCTATAATTTGCCCTAAGTGATCAGATTGATGTATAAATGAAAGCTCTCCGCGCCGCCGCTAACCCCGCGTGGATTCTGCGACACTCGGACGAATGTGCGAGTTGTTTCGCTGTGATCGTCGTGCAACGTTTCGCGCGATGCTTAAAACTGGTGACCCACGTTGGATCTGATTTAGTGTTTAACGTGCGGCCAACACGAACACATCGCTAGAGAGATCGGAACTCGCACACACCACACAACCCAGCCGACCCAGCCAACCCAGCCAACCCAGCCAACCCACCAGCAACTATAATACATGATCATATAATAGGTGTGCGGCGTTGCGAGGGTTCTCTCTTTTGAATTCGATTTTGTGGTGGTCTCAGCGAGTGGTGTTTTTCGGTTAATTGTGGTTGTGCCACCGCCAGAGCCAGAGACAGTGCCCCGTGTCCCGTGTTCCGTGCCACAGCAACAGCAACAGAAACAGCAACAGCAAATTTTGTCGAGTGCCCTTGGCTGGCAAAAAAGGTGTCGCTCAGTAATTGGATTGGGGATTGCCAAAGCAGCGAATCGAAACATTCGAATATAGTTACATATGCCAAGTGAAGTTACCGCTCCTCCACTTCATCCCGAGTTACACAAGAAATTCCTCAATCGCCAGTCAGCTGCTGCAGCACAGTCGGTGAGTGGAACATACTTTTTTTTTTTGGCGGGCGGGGGAAACGGAAGTCGGTTCGCTACGCAGCTTCAGACATTTGCAAATTAGTCAAGCAAAGTAAGTCGGGCAGTGAGCTAACCAGTGAGCGGAGCAACCAAAGCTCCTTTGTAGATTCCCACTAATTGCATTTAAATTTAGCCAGCGGGAAGCGGTAGCCAGCCGCCTGGGCGGTTGACGCAAATCATTGATCAAGTGCACAGAAATAGCTGGCGGCACAAGAAGGGTCGCCAGAGCAGTTTGCCAGCGAATTACAAGTGATATTTGCTCCAAAGGGACATTTGACTGAAAGCAATTCCATACGCACATTGCAATTTATCTTTATCTGTGTGTTGAAATGGCATCGAGCCTACATATAGGGTTGGGGTGCGTATCATCCATGCAACACGTTGGCCAAGCTACAGACAGCTTTAAGCAGATATCGCACGATCAGTGGACTCTTGCAGAGCTTGGACTCCGACCACACCTCAGCGACTGAGAGAGAGAGAGAGAGAGAGAGAGAGAGAGAGAGAGAGAGAGAGAGAGAGAGGGAGAGAGAGATCACCTATGATAAATTTGCATTCAGCGTTGCTAATGGCCGTTATAATTCGATTTGAAGTCTCGAGAGCGAAGCATTCGACTGTGACCCGTGTCTCGAGAGTGTTGCAACTGTTTCGTGTCCATGCGGTTTGTGCAACAAATTCGCACCATCACACAGGTTGCCACAGGTTAGCTCAGTGGATAGAACTTATTGAGTCGTGTATTATTCACAGATTCGTAGCACAGACTGAGACAGAGACAGAGACCAGACTAGACATTCAAAACTCAACTCACAATAAGCGGAGCAAGGCCAACGGCTTTTATAAGCTTAGAAGCCAGGCTTAGATTCACCCGTCTCGACCCGTCTGGCCCGATCAAAGAGCAATTGGCGTTGGTCTATGGGACCAACTTGCTGTATCTTTGGATTGGGTATTATGGGTTTGATTGGAAGTTTTGCAAGGCAGAAAATGAAGCTGAAAAGTATTGCCATCGGTGTCCTTTTCCTCTCTCTATGAATCTCTGCACTTAATGCACAAGGCATACAGTAAGTACACAATTCCAATCTCTATATCATAGCCAACATAGCTACTCGTAGCTACCATAGAAGCGATCGGTTGAAAAGCAAGTCCCTGTACAAAAAAAAAACCAGTTTATTCCTAATGATATTCCAGCCACAACTCCACAAATTCGAACTATGTGTGGTAGTTTTTCTTTAAATATGTACAAGCCAAATCGTATATTAATCGAATGAAAGATCACTCTGCAAGGGTATCAAAAGCTTCGCCCTCGAATACACAAAACGTAGCCTTCCTCTCAGGCTGCTGACAATTGAAATTTGTGCTCAAGCGCGTCGACATCGCAGCCATTCGGACGGCTGCAAAGCCGCTAAGGCCGCTCCACCACTACACCGCTCCACCCCATCACCATTTGACGACTTGGCTCATTGAACTTGGCTAACTCTAGACGACAAATACAATGCATAAATAACAATACATTAAGAAGCAGCTGAAACAACGTCGCAACTCTCGAGTCGCGTGCTGTTTTCAAATTATATTTTTTCACGTGAAGAGCAATGGCAATGGCATGCGGCATGCGGCGAGCGAGCGACTGCGATTCATGGGGAATTCTTGGCTCAAAAACATTTTGCTCAAAAATGATTGCATCTGCGCCTACGAGTATGGGCGCCTATTTTTAGTTCTCTTGGCAAAACACGGGAAATCATCATCGCATCAACACTAAATCATGCGCAGAAAAACAGTCAAAACAAATTGGCAATTTGCAAATTTCAAATTGGCAAAAGACAAATAAAATTTAATTTATGAGCATAATGTGCGAGACTAATTCAATAGGATAGGGCTAGACACGGCTGGGGGACCACGACTTTAGGACAATCCAGTTTAAACCGCCTGCACTTCATTATTAAAACAAACTTGCAAAGGTTTTGCCATTAGTGGCTTATACCAAGAATAAATTATGGTAATTATTTCGCCGAATTTAGATGTTGCGTAGTATCGAAAAGGTGTCTGTCTGGCTTATGCCAGTTTTTAGTTTTTAGTTTCAGTTTCAGTTAGAAAGTTATGGAACAATAAACAAAGATCTATTGAGATTATTTTTGCTGTAGAATTTCCCATAACTTGATTAGGTATTCAAGAGAGCAATTACTTTTACTCATCAATTATTCAATTGGCACCTTTTCTCTAGCCAGTTTTCCCATGGAAATCCATTCACTCATTCCGACACCCATTCGATACAGTTTCGAAAAGTTAAAGACTTATTTTCTGAGAGTTTCATTCATCAGTCAACGACTTCCGCATATCTAAGACTTTGACTTTTGGTACAGACCGACAGACAGACAGACAGACAGACAAACCAGTACCCGCTGTACTTGAGATTATGCAGAGAGTCATTTTTCATTCAGGTTTACAGCGGCGGCAAAATGGGTGTGCGGAAGATCGTAACAGGCAGAAGATCAGATCTCAGGGGTCTCATAACGTGCATATATCATATCTGATCTGATCTGCAGTCAAGATGTCAACGGGAGCAATTAGATACGAATGCAAGAGAGACTCGCCAGAGACTCGCGAGATTGAAGAACCGGAAAAATTGTCGCAATTTGCCAAAAATTTCCATATCTTTGCAGAGAGATGAGATGTGAGAGATAATCTTAACTGGAACTGGCAGTAAAAAGCCCCCAAATTACCCATGTCATATAGATACATATATTCTAATTAAGAAAGGGGGAATGGGATGGGTATGGGTATGGGTATGGGAATGGCAATGTCCAAAGCTAGAGACAAGTGACACTAAAATTGGCTCACGACATTTGCGAGAGGTTCGTTCCGTTCCGTTTTGTTTTGTTTTATTCTATTTTAGACACGTTTCAGGCACGGCACGAAATGCAAGCTTCTACTCGTACGGGTACGGGTACGGGTATGTGGATGGGCATGGGCATGGGCATGGGATTGGGGCATGGGGCAACGCTTCGCTTGCATTGAACTTGACATTCGTTGAGGTCTGCTTTCAATTTAGAAATATGTCAGCGGCACAAACTATTTTCAGAGCAAAGCGAACATTTCACATTGCACATTGCACGCACTTGTTGCGGTTCGAGAGAGAGAGACACACAAAGAGAGACGCGGATTCGAATGCACATGCAGATGCAGATCTTACAGCATATACAGCATGGTATTAAATAGTATTTCCCTTTCCCATTATTGCAGCCATGAGTAAGAACGGACACAATAATGCAGGCTTTGTCAGCGATCATGCGGACAGCGTACAGAAGCCAATGGGGAAGTCCTACTCCCTGGAGCTGGCCGAGAAGGGTGGCAGCCACAACAACAGCAGCAGCACGAATAAGGCCATAGTGGCCAAGGATCCCGATTACAATCCCTACCAGCATCGCGATGTGGAGCATCCCACAACGTAAGCAGAGATTAAACAGATCAAATCAAGCTCAAGAGCAACGAAACTAATCCCAAACCATTCCCCCGTCTAGCAATTCGGAAACGCTGTTCCATCTGCTGAAAGGTTCTCTGGGCACAGGCATCCTGGCCATGCCGAATGCCTTCCGCAACTCTGGCTACATAACGGGCTCCATTGGCACCATTGTGATTGGGTTCATCTGCACGTACTGCATCCATCAGTTGGTTAAAGCGGAGTTCGAGCTGTGCCGAAGGAAGAAGGTGAGTCGCATTTCCATGTCCATGCATTCCAGAGATTAATTAATGCTCTCCCATTCAGATTCCCAGCATGAACTATCCGGCCGTGGCGGAGACTGCTCTGGGCGAGGGGCCAGGGTTCTTCAGAGCCTGTGCCCCGTACATTGGCACCGTAGTGAACACCTTCCTGCTGATCTACCAGCTGGGCACCTGCTGTGTCTACGTCGTGTTTGTCGCCTCGAACATCAAGGCCATTGTGGATGCGGTGGGTGATACGAACATCGATGTGCGCCTCTGCATGATCATCATCCTGCTGCCGCTGATTCTCATCAATTGGGTGCGCAATCTCAAGTATTTGGCTCCCTTCTCCACGCTGGCCAATGCCATTACCATGGTCTCCTTTGGCATCATCTGCTACTACATTTTCCGCGAGCCCGTCACCACCGAGGGCAAGGATGCGTTCGGCAAGCCCGAGAACTTTCCACTCTTCTTCGGCACCGTTCTGTTCGCCCTGGAGGCCATCGGTGTTATCCTGCCGCTGGAGAATGAGATGAAAACACCGCAAAAGTTTGGCGGCAACTGTGGCGTCCTCAACGTCTCCATGATCCTCATTGTGTTCCTCTACGTGGGCATGGGTCTCTTTGGCTATCTCAACTACGGCAACTCCGTGCTGGGTTCCATTACGCTGAATATGCCGGAGCATGAACTGTGAGTGAACTTCCCACTTCCAAATGAAAGTGGTTCTCCCTTTATAACATCTCATTCGCTTTCATCTTTAGCCTGTCGCAGTGCGTCAAGGGTATGCTGGCATTTGCCATCTACATCACCCATGGCCTGGCCTGCTATGTGGCCATTGACATCACCTGGAACGATTATGTGAGCAAGCGGCTGGGTCCCCAGCGCAACAAGCTCTTCTGGGAGTACGCAGTGCGCACGATTCTTGTCCTGATGACTTGTAAGTCGGAAGACCATTCACAGATTACTTGGTTACTTGATTACTGATTCCTTTTCTTTTTACAGTCCTGCTGGCTGTGGCCATACCCAATCTGGAGCTGTTCATCTCTCTGTTTGGTGCCCTGTGCCTGTCGGCCCTGGGCCTGGCCTTCCCGGCACTCATCCAGATCTGCACGCACTGGTACGAGACGAAGGGTCTGCGCAAGGCCTGGCTTTTGTTGAGTGAGTAGTGTCTCAGGATTCACCACAAACCCGACAGCCTTTGCTTAATTGATTGCTCTTTTTGGTTTAGGTAACTTCGTGCTCATCATTGTGGGCATCCTGGGACTTGTGATCGGCACTTATACCTCACTCAGGGAGATCGTTCTGACCTTCACCGAGTAGGAGGGTGGCAGTAGAGAATAGCATTCAGTTCTAATCCGCCAGCTGGCATTCCAATTTAAGCGAAAGTATTATGAGCAAACGGAAGATATCTAAATCGGTTTACATTTCGCATTCGCAGCAGTAGCACAAATGACAAAAGGATCTGCAGTTGCAGTTGCAGATACAGATACAGATGCAGATATAGATGCAGATCTGATCTATTTTGTACAATGCGTAAACTTCTAATCTGGACCTTCCATCTTTGTGTTAGATAACTAATCTCTAACAGTTTATCAGATTTGTGATATTTTTAAGCATTGTGCCCAAAAACCTGTACAACCAATGTACATGTGTATGTTTATATGTATGTGTGTGTATATCTATATCTATGTATATCTATATATATATATACATATAGTATATTTTTTCATAACGTATAATGTAGTTTATAACATTCTTGATAAGTAGTTTAGTGCCAAGTCACATCTTTATAAGCCTTATTTAACGTATGATGATAGCGGACAACAATATGAATAAACATAAACCTTTTTTGCCATATTAAGATACGCCTTGCGGTTGGTTAGGGACAGGCACAGACATCATATAATCCTTAAGTGCCTGGCAGAGACGCCGGGCTCCGTCTACAAGCTTCGCCTTGCCGTGGAAGCCTATGGATAAACGAAAGAATTGCTTACCACTCTCCCCATCCGCGGCGAAACGAGGCCCAGCTATAAACGCAATCCTCTGATGCTCCAGGCTGTATTTCAGAAATTCTCTGGCATCCAAAAACTCTGGCAGCCGTATCCAAATGAAGTATCCACCGCTGGGGCTCATCAATTTGCAGTCCCCGGGCAGCTCCGCTCTGAGCGTCTTTGTGGCGGCCAGCATGCGCTCCTTGTAGGTCTCGTGGAAACAAGCTATCTGCTTCTGGGCCAGATTCAGCTTGAACAGACTACCTACAATGCCGGCGGTGTAGTTGTTGAAACAACCGCCGCTGTTGGCGAAGCCACTGCCCTCTAGCAAGGGCTTAATGCGCGGCGGCACCTCCAGCCAGCCCAGACGCAATCCAGGACCGAGAATTTTGGAGAAACTGCAGTTGGATATGACATGACCAGCATAGTCAACATCCGAGCGAGCATCATACGAGAGCAGACGCGCCTCAGGCCTCTCGCCATAGTGCAAGATGTTGTACACATCGTCGCACACAACGAGAAGGTCATACTTCCTGGCGAGCTGCACAATGCCTCGACAAACCTCTAAAAATAGAATACAGAATGAAAAATTAAAACTTTTTGGTCTGAGGACAGACGTACCTGGCGAGAACAATATGCCCGTGGGGTTGTGGTAGGTCGGAATGGTGTAGTACATTCCCCAGAACTCCTTGCTCTGCGAGCTGAATCTGTGCTTGGCCACCTTTTCGCCCAGATCCTGCAGATCAACCCCATCATCATTCAGCTTGACTGGCACAATGGTCAGACTGGTGAAGTGCTTCATGCAGTCCAGGGCTATCATATAGGTGAACTCATCCACAAATATAATGCCCTGGAAGTCAATCAACGTCGACAGCAGCAAATGTAAACCGTTGGTGGCACCAGCCGTAATAATCAAATCCTCACTAAAAACATAAAACAAAAGATAAGTCCACAATCATATAATGATAAACGCCACAAAACCGCAGACCCAAGTCTCACCAGTTGACGGTACTTTCGTACATGGCGCTGAAGTAGGTGGCTATCTCACGACGCACCTCAAAGCATCCGCAGGTGGGTCCATACTGAAAGATCAGCGACTGATTTTCGTTCTTTTCATGTTGCTGAAAAAGTGCACAAGGTCATTTGAATGGGAATTGCATAATTTAGGCACGGCAACTAACTCACCAGACAATGTTCCGTGGCCTGCTGAAAGATATCGCAGCAGCTCTCAAGAAGATCCGTGCCCGGTGCTCCGACGCCCAAATTGAGGATGTTTGGATCATAGACATTCCAAGCGCCGCCATCGAAAAGATGCTTCAGCTTACGTTCCTCCGTCGCACGTGACATGCTGGTCCGTAGAATGTCACTCTTCTAATGCTCTTATCAATCCGAAGTGCACTCATATTTATAGAATTGACAATTTGTGCCGCGAAATTCGTCATTTTCGACATTGCGCTTTGTTGCGAATTAGAGCTGGAAGCATCGATGTTCTATAGCGACTATCGATGTTTTTATACATCGATAGTCGCCATAGAACATGTGTCCTCACCTCTATCAAACAGCTGACCACCAGAAACTGCATTGTTTTTGGAAAATTGGAAAACTACTCCATCGGTCAAATGGACACGGAAAAGCCCTCTACTAGCGCTGCTGCAGCCGCTGCATGTGCTCCAATAGTGCAGGACCAGAATCCTCCGCTCCTGGACTCGCCACTCCATGGACCAACGCTCTCCAGCAGTTCCAGCTTCGAGGCTTTGGCGCGCCACGACGACCCAAACCTCCGCCGATTGGCGACACAAATGTTTCAGAAAACAGAGGAGTACATTACGAACGAACTGAACGCTCCCCTGGAGGACTACAGGCTGTTGGAGGAGATGAACAAGGCTACCATAGCCAAGTACAAGGACATGCGTCAAATTGCAGAGAACCTGAATGCCTCTACTAGTGATCTGAGCCTCAAGTTCCAGCAGCTGGCGCCGCTAATGCAGCAGATCGATGAGATATCCGATACGGTGGACAAACTAGAGGCGGCAGCCTACAAGTTAGACGCATACAGCATAGCACTGGAGAACCGCGTCAAGTGTGTGCTCCAACGCAAGGCGGGCACGGGCACACATGCGACACAATAAAGGCTTACAGTATACTTTTTACAATAGACTTTATGTTATTAACCAAGTAATAGTTTAAATATAATCGCAATTATGTTAAGAAATATCAGGGGAACTGCAATAAGAAAGAGATGGTTTTATTATTTATGTTTCTTTGTTTATGAGAATGCTGCTACGTACTTTTGGCCACTGTGCGAATGGATCGAATGAGATTTAACGCTTGGTCCTTGGCCGTGGGAGCCCCAAAGTCCTGCTGACCCGCTTGCCGACCCCAGCCAACTAAAAATAATGTGCTCAAGATTAGCGTCGTGGCGCTTGGGATTGCAATTGCCATCTAGGCAAACTTACACTTGGCCAGGAAGCGCTCCTCGTGCAGGATGCAGACTGCATTGAGGCACAGCAGCGAAGCTTCGATGAGCGTCCAGAGAGTAAACATTATATTGAAAAATTGAGAATTATTTACATCGAAATCAACCAAAACGACCGAGTAATTGTTGACGTCAGTCAGTGCTGCCCACTTTTCAGCAGGAAAATATGCGTTTTTAACTTTCACAAGAGACAAAAAAAAGCTAAAAATTTCAGAATGGCTTTATGGCTTACTAAATTTTCTGACAGGTAAACCTTGTTGCTTCAAACAGCTTATTGCAGTTGTGATGGTAACTTTGCAACAGCTGCAGTACTGCTATGCTTATCTGTGTCATGTTTGCGAAGCCTTAAATTCTTCGCATTTTAATCAAGCAAGCACTTTTGCTTATGGCCATTTGGCACTTCGAAAATGTTCATGCATGTGAATCCACATTTCGCATAGATGATAGTTTGCTTAAAACTTAAAACAAACCTGCTAACATAAAAACGAGGAAAAAAGCCAAACGCATGTCTAAAAAATCACAAATTCCCGCTTCCCGTAGTTGGTCTTAAAAAAACAGCCAGATTTGACGGGAAAAAGCGGATTTGGCAGCATTGACTCAGTTGTCGTCTTGCCATTCACACTTTTCGTATTTCAACGTCACAGGTCGAGTGCCTGAGATTGCGCGCCAAAACAAGTTTCAAAACTAATAACTTTTTATTAATATTATTTATTTCTTTTTTATCGTTGGAAGCACTCCTAGGGCGCAATTAGACCAATTGGTGTCTAAAAAATAAAAATTAGTTTCTGCAACAATTATTTAGCCACATTCACAAACCTTTCTCAAGTGTCCAAATGCCCAGGTCGGTGTGCGGACGGTCTTTGGGGCGGAAAAACTCATCAAACTGTTCCATGGGATCCACATCGAACGGCGTCTCTGCCAGCGGAATCAAACTAGGACATGGATGGAATAATGGTTACCAATAAAGTCAAATGGTTTTCCTGTGAGCTTACCTTCGGAGGATGGGTGCTGAGAATGAACTTAGATACGAAAAACGCTGCAGGAAGAACTCATGCTCAAAGAGCACATCCCGTGGATTCTTTGGGCTGTTGCCAAACATCAGAGTGAGCGTTGGATCCACGCCAGAGTGAGCTAGCAGAGTGCGAATAGTTTTCGGTACGACGTGCTTGTTGAGAGACGTGAAATCCGTTGGCTTCAGCTTGTCATTCTACGGGATGGAAGACGAGTTACCCTTAGCAAGTCACTATTTAATGAATTTCCGATAGCCATACCTTGTCCTGTTCCTCCTTGAACATGCGCTTCATGCGGGACAGCATTGCGAAGGTTTCAATCATCTTTAGCGCCCAATATCTGGCCCCCAAGCGCCGCTCATCAGACTCATGGACATTTTCAGTCAGCTGGACGAGAGCCAGAAAGAGGTTTTCGGTGAACCCGTGGATGGCGATCAGTTTGAAGAGTCTCTCAGTGGCCGCTATTATGTGTTCCTCATTGTCGTTTATTTCCAGTCCCACGCCCATGAAATATTTCATTCTTATTATTTCTGCAACGTATACGTCGGGCAGATTCCTAACAGTTGACGTTTGCTTGACCAATTCGTTTAGTTTATTTATCACCGTGTCAAGAATCTCCTTGGGCGTCTTTAGCTTATTTTTGGATAGATATGCCCGTATGGTATTGAACTCTTTTGGCTTCAGTTTCTTGATGGCCTTGAGGCTGTGAGCGCTCTTGATCTGACACTCCAGGGCTAGGTCGAAGGCGGACAACTGGTGTGCCATCTTCTGCCTGAACTTAATGTTGTCCTTGGCCTCCAGTTTGCCTGCATCCAGATCGGAGAGGGTATCCTGCAGTGGCAGCCAGTAGTTGTGGTGCAGCCATTGCAAGCAGATCTCGGCTGCATCCCTCAACAGATACACGGGTGGCATTTCCGTGCCGTGCGAGCACTTGTGCCGTATGTCGACCACGAATGATGGCAGTCCCAACTCCTGAGCCTTTGCGTACATGCTGCTCCAGTTGTGGCCTTGTACGGTGGACGACATGAAATTGAAGAAGCGCATTATGGCGTGCGCATAGATTTTGTCCAGATTCAAGTCGCCCTTCTTGTCGTCCAGCTGCGCTCGAACAATCACGGCAGTGGCCAGAGCAGCCGCTGGGCACAGGCTGCCGCGTCGCAGTTTCCAAATGCGGATCATGGACAGAGCCATTCGATGCTGATTGCTCGTTGCATTCTTGCCAAATATAAGAGTGTATGCTTCTTTAAATTCCGCGCTGAAATGGCAAATATTAAATCAGAAACGAACCCAAACAAAACAAAACAAAACGCACGTGCATTTCCATGGTGTAACAATTGTTCTCTGCTTGGCGGGCGCTGCTGTGGGTGTTGGCGTAGAGCCTGGAATGCCCTTTGAACTCATACTCTAATATTTTATGTCTATTTCCACTTGATAATCTACAGAAATGCAAATTTACGAAAAAATAAAACAAAAATCTATTTAATTTCAAGCTGTTGAACAGTGCTGGTAAATATCGTACCGGGTATAAAAAGTGCTGCATACTTTTGCATAGAACAGCTGGTTGGCAAATCTAGCCATTGTGTGTGAATGGCAAAATAAAAAGTGGAGCCAAAAATTATATATTCTCTGCCATGCCGCCTGTCTATGCTTAGCTTGAGCCTCAAACCACTGAATACGCACTGAACCTCTTCAGCAGACCCTGCAGCCAACAAATCACATGCAGATCCTCTACACTTATAGTCCCAACAACAACGTGGTGGATGAGTACAACGATTTCGATGTTCCGCCACCGGCAAAGAAGATGATAATTGGCTCCTGCTCGATGTTTGTGATATTCTCATACCTGAAGCTTCTGTACATACTCGTGGCCATCTACCTGGCCCTCCATCACGCTCACCACTAAGCGGCCCCCGGGGCCATGTATCACTTTGTGTCCGAACAGACACCGGAACTGCGGCTCTCGGAGAAGGCACTGGTAACCAGCCACGTAACGCAGTATCTGAGGAGCTTTCAGCTCGATGCAGTAAGTTTCCTCTACGAGCGCCTCAGCAAGGGAGAGTTTTGCATTCTCAACGATGAGAGCGGGCTGGGGAAATTAGCCACAGTGTCGGCCCTGCTCAGTGCTCTGGAACCCGCCAAAAAAACGCTGATTGTGCTGCAGAACGACGGACAGCTGCTCGCTGGCTGGCAGTTTCACCTAAACACACTCACAGATCTCTCCGTCTACACCATTCAGGGTGTCAAAGGTAATTTTGGAAGTCTTCTGTCTAGAGCTTCATTCAATTAACTGCCCGAAACTCTCCTTCAGACACCACCGAGTCACCGCACAGCGTTTACCTGGCCAAGTGGAGCAGTCTGCGCAGCATTGGGGATCTCAGCAGACTAAAATTCGACTACGTTTTCGTGGACAATCGCGGCCATTCACTGAACAACAACTTCTGCAACTCCATGCTGTTGAAGCATTTCGAAGGCAAAGTAAACATTGTAATCTCCAGTGTGGACATAACGGTGAGGAAATCGAAATCCACGTCACTTCGAACACAGCCCACAATCTAATCGACACTTTCTGTTGTCTTCAGTCTGACGTGAAGCTCCTGTACAATGTGCTGCGACTGGGTGGACGCCTGGAGCATAAACACAGAAACTTTCAGAGTTTCGATCGCAAGTTCCACCTGCCAGACCCCAAAGAGGTGTTCAGCAAGCGCATAGATCTCGAGGAGTACTACAAGCAGCGTGGCTTTCTCAGTGAATACATCAAGTAAGGCAGCCCCCCTTTAAAGCCATTTAAAAACCGTTTTGTAATCATTTGTTTGGGTCATCTCGCAGGGACTTTCGTCTGCGTCGGTTTTGCCATCAGTTCGATAAGAGTTTGCCGCTGGTTTCGCTCGAGCAATACAAGGCGAATCTGAATCTGTGGCTGGCCTCTAGCAACAGTCAGAGCACGCTCAGTGGCTCATCGGATGTCTGCTCCACAGTGGCATCGTCTGTGGAGATCAATCAGAGTCACACAGAAGAGCCAGGCAGGGCCGAGTTGGAGCACAGCAATGAAGCCGTGATAATGCCGCCATTGGTTTTTGAATCATCCGAATCTGAGGAAGAGCCAGTAATGCTGCGAGCTGATGTTCCCGTCCTTGATGAAAACGAAGTTTTGATCGTGTCCAGCGATGATTGCGAGATCATTACGTCCCCAAATACGCCGCCTAGGCGCAAACTATCCAAGGAGTCGCCTTCAATTAAGCCGCAGAGGAAGTACGTCAAACGCCAGCCTCCTGCCAAGCAGCCGGAACTTACCGAATCGGAGCCAGAGGAGCAGGAGGATAGCCCGAGGCAGAAAACGCGTGCATCTGCGGCTGCTGCTACAAGAAAAGTCAATGTTCGACTGAGGAGAATGTCCTTGGCGGCGCCACAGCGTGAGAGCACTCCACCTCAGCAGGCAGCGACACCGCCACCACCACCACCACCGGTGACCCCCAAGACAGAGCCAAAGGCGAAGCGTCGTCAGGTCTTGAGTCCATCATCACCACTGAGACGTCCAGCGACACGCGGAATGCAGCGTCTGACGCGCTCCGCAGACGCGAAGCTGAACAGCAAATACTTGATGCACAGAATCACATTGGAAGACTGCAGAAAGACCACGCCCCGGCGACCCAAAACGGAGACCAGCCACACTCCAAAGACAAGCAAATCGAGGATGAAGCAAGAGCCGCAGGAATCGACCAAGAGGGGGCCAGGTCGTCCATCGAAAAAAGCAATCGAGGAGAAATCCAACAGCAGGTCAGCCACGCCCAAGGCTGCAGATGAAACACCCAAGCGAAGACGAGGACGTCCACCCAACAACGAACCGCAGCAGCAGCAAGAATCCGCACCCAAATCAAAGGAAAAGCCTACCGTAAATAACTCGAAGATTAAGCCCATCGCTGCCACACCCCAAGTGGTGAGCAGCAGCTCCCTGTCCTCTGAGTACATGCAGTGCGGGCAAAAGCTGCCGGACAACGTGGATGTGCTGGATCTGCCCGCCTTCCGCATACCCTTCACGCCCCAGCCGGCTCCCCTTATGCTGCCGTCGAACTTCACACTGTTCAGTGACTCGGAGGTGCTGTCCATTCCCCTGACCAGCCCACAGCAGCGGGAGACTGTGGTCATCTGCAGCTCCCACGATGAGAGCTCGCAGCCGTGCTCGTCCACAACGCAGAGCCGCCGCACGAAGGCACTGAAGCGAAAGCGGAAGCAGGAGACACCAACAAGTGGCTCCTCACACTTCGGAATGCTGCTCTCGCAGCAGAGGAACCCGATTAAATCTCCAGATATCTTTAGCAATTGCTCGGACATTTCTACACTGGCGATGGCGCAGCCACCACCGAAACCGTCATCGCCCTTCGAGGGCTTCAAGATCTTTGGGTCTGAGGTGAAGCAGTTCCAGCAGCAGCATGCGATCGTTGGAGCTGCCAAGAAGAAGCGCGAACGCTCCTGCCTGGACATCCTAGAACAGATGTTTGAGCCGCGTGCGCCGGTGATGTCCAGCCCCAAGGTCCTACCCAGCCTCCCGAATGTGACACCACCCCAGCAACAGCAGCAGCAGCAGCTGCAGCAGACTCCGAATCTGATAACCCAACGGCGGCGAACATTTGTAGAGGAAGATTTCTTTGAGATAACCAACAACGGGGAGTTTGGCAGCCGCCTGCGCCTCAACTCCTCGGGTGATGTGTCACCTGTCCAGCAGGATCGCTCCACGCAGTCGAACAAGATCACCAACTATCTGATCAGCTCGGGGCCGGAGAAGTCGGGCACCAGCAGCAATCGCACCACATCTGCCACGCAAACGTTGCGCAAATCGCCCAAAGCCGCCAGCAAGTCCACGCAGTCTACAAAGCTGACGCGTTGGTTTGGCTCCGCCTTCGGTGTCGCCTCCCAGAGCAGCTCTGTGGAATCGCTGAGTGCACCCAGCACACCCATGGCGCCATCGACGAGCGAAGCAGCCTGCCGTGCACGCTCAGCACGCAGTGCAGGACCCAGCAAAAGGAAGCGCTTGGATCTGTACAAGTGAAACAACCCCTACAGGAGGAGGCAGCAGACAGGATCAATCAAAATGCATTCATAAGTTAACAGAATTCAGGGATTTCCGGCACACAAACGAAACCGCTCTCGCATGTTATTCTATCGTGAAATATCAAAATGGTATAATGTTAACTGTAAAACATTAAGCGAGCCGATTAACTAGCCAAATTAGTCGAATTACATTTAAATTCATTCAAGTTTAAAAAACATATTTTTCCTAACTCGCAACCGTTTTCTAAATGGTCTGGGCTGGACTGGGCTCGTCCCGTCCCATCCCTCATATCCGCTGTTTGCTGAATATATGTGTGAGATTGTGCATGACCGCCTGGCGCTGGTACTCCAGCTCACGCCGACACATGCTGCCCAGCAGCGGGGGACACTGGTACTGGATGCGCTCCAGGGCCAAGGTGTCTTCATTGGCGGCACTAAAGCTAAACTCACTGAGAGAGTGCACTGCGCAGGAAAGAATAGGGGAGGTAAATAAACAAAATGATTTTTAAGCCAAGATATACATATAGATCCACTCACAGCAGTAGAAGCCACTGAAGAAGCAGGTCTCGTGGGTGGACTGAATGCCATAGGCCACGGGTGTGATGCCTGGCTTCGTTTTGGTCACCACATACTTGGCCGTGGCCGTGTTCAGCCAGTAGGGCCAGTGGGAGAGTCGCTCCGTGTACTCCACCGTGTAGCGCCAGTCATGGGCGTGGCCATGATCGGCGAGAATCTTGAAATTGATGCTGCCAGCAAATGGATATGAAATGATAGATACGACAGGGGGAAAAGTGCTGAAGCATGCCTATGTATGTCTATGCATGTACTCACATGGTGGGATTGAGCAGACGCATTTTGTTAAAGTCTGCCACATACTCCCAGACCTTTTCCGGTCTCGTCTTGCCGATAATGCCCTCGATCTGGTACTTCTGATAGCCGCTGGAGAACACAAAGACGTACAGCAGCAGGGCGGTGGTGAGCAGCAGCGAGAAACGCTTGATATTCCATCGTCGGACGCTATGCATGATATGTTTGTATGTGTATGCTATATCTTGAATTCGGTGAATATCAAATAAACAAATGCCCGGCAAATGTGGAAAGGGGAATGAATGGATCACAGAGCGACGACGGGCATCCAAGCAAATGGGAGGAAAACAACAGAATGAGAGGCACGCCAAAAGATCTGGGAGTAGGACGCTTTGTAAATACTTTGTGGACTCCCCAAAGTATATTTAATGTAGGGTAAGACAGTTCTAAGGAACACTTACAATATCAGAATGGTACATGAACTTGCAGTACGGGAATGCCTAACCTCATGTTAATATACGTTGGGGGCACCAGGGGCACACACACAATCTCTCTCTTTCTATCTCTTATTCACTAATACTACTGTAAGATATAAGAAAAAACACATGATTTTTGCAACCCAAGCATTTGCTGTGAATATATGAATTTATTTGCAAGCTGCATTACAATACTAATACAAATACAAAATATGAAATATACATATTGATGTATGTGGTGTTATCCTATTTAGAAAATTTCAATGAATTTAAGCGTTAAAAGTAAAAAATGTGCTGTACCTCTGCATCTGTCGAGTTCTCCATGACTCATACGATCAAAAATGTTATGTCCACTTGCCAAAAAGAAATTCAGTTCTCCGTTTGTTAGACAAACATACAAAGCCTCCCACATCTGAATAAAGAGAGTTGTTAAATCTCCGTTCCATGCAGTATTTCCCAGTCGAGAAAGCAAGACTGTTTTGAGCATGTAACTTGATAGATGGGGAAGATCAGTCGCATGAGCGTCGCGCAATCCCTTCATCAGACGTAAAACATTTTTGAAGTTATCCAAATCCTTCGTTATCTGGCGTTCCCAATGCGGGGCACATACCATAAAGGTTCGCTCGTCCGTTGAGCCTTTTTTGGATTGGGGTACAGCGAACCATGGAAACTTACGTATTTCCTTCTTACGGCCGTTGTAAATGCATGGCTTGACCAACGGCCACTGGGCCCAAGTGAACTCGAATGCTGGCACCAAATCGAACGATATGTTCCGATTCTTCCCTTCAGCTTCAATGGTGTGGGCACATCCGTAGCCCTGGGCCGTGTACATTAATTCATATACTTCTCCAGTTTTGCAATGAACACTTTGCTTTGAGTTGAAAACCTTATTGAATGCATCGCGTAGCCAATTTTGAAGATTTTTTCGATCTATGTAATTGTCGGTAACAATAGGATGATTGGCGCCAATTGCACGCAAGAACACGAATCCTTTCTCGTCTTTTATGGGTGTAATTGGGAATGGAAATTTCAACTTCATATGCAAATCAAATTCATCAGGAGTCTTCAATTTCACCCTGTCCAAGTAGCTTCCTGAAAGAAAATCAGTATTAATCATTGCATTAGTGCTTCCGCAGGTTCCATGACTTACCTGCAAGGCTTAGACCATCAAAAGCCGTGCGAAAATTGTTGTCTGCCAACTTTAGTTTCTCAATCACATGATTTTGGATTTCAACAGCATCCTCAGTGTACTTGGAGCGATCATCGTCGGAAATACGCAATTTCTGCAAAATATTTTGCAGCTCTCCGGCCAAACTCATGATTCCTTATATATTGTACAAGATAACGTCTGAGATAAGAAGCAATAATGAAGATGACTTTGAATTTGAATTAATTCAATAAACTCAAACTAAAATTGAAAGCTTTGAAAACCGAATGAAAGATATCGGAAAGTCCCTAGTTTCACATATTCTTCTAGCGGCCAGTAGTGTGACCAGAGGTGTGCACTGCGTTTGTGCCCGAAAAAAGTTCTTATCGGTTTCCTACCAATATCAACCCTGATTCTGTTCGCGAGGTGCTTTAATTACATATCGCACAAAAATACCGATATTTTCTTGCAGCTTACCCTGTGTTCGATAAGTAAATTCTACAAAGTATTCTAAATACGAGAAACAATAGAAAAATAGTGTCAGACTTTTAGAAAAGTAATTCCGTTTATTATACAGCCCACAGAACTGTACAATTAATATTTTCACCAGTCCAAAAACAAATCATCTAAAAATATATCATCAACATAAAATATATATCGATATATTGATAAATTAATTTAACATCCCTAGCTGGCAGCTGTTTTTATTCTTGCCGCGCGCTGTTTTCCATACCCGACCCGACCCCTCTTTTTACTTTATTGTTTTAGTCTGTTTGATTGTTTTATATTTTAACATAAATTAAGTACAAAATGCTTTGTAGACTAGTTGCCAACCGCAACTTGAGCGCCAAATATGCTGGCAATTTTAAGGTAAGCTGCCACCCACACCACACCTCACCCGTGCTCTGGCACTATGGAATAATTGTGTCGATCTGCTGGAAAACAGATTAACTGGATGAAAATAAAGGCATTTATCTTTATGCCGTCTGTGTAAAGAGAGCAATTATGCGAGTAATCATGTGATCAACAGGTGAAAACCAGTTTCCAACTCAGAAAAAAACAACAAAAGCAACAGGTGCGCAATTCTAAAACTGAAAAACCATGAACTATTAGACAGTGTTAGTGTGCTGAAGCATAGCTGTGGGTTGTCCAGCCATGGAGTACTGTATTTTGATTTAGTAGAAGGCCTGCCCAGCCAGCCCCCTGATAAGCTTTATTTTGATAGACCCACGCGAACAGCCCACTTTGATGGCACGCGGCCCCCGACCACCCGACCCCGCTGGAATCATGTGTTTAATAATATAAATAGGCAAACTTACGTAACATTTTGCACAAACAAGACACACACACGCACCCTCACTCACACGACATCCAATCATAAGCAAACCAACCACTATGCTAATGGACCCCAGATCCAGATCACCTGCTAACATTCCCCTACGATCTATACGTTTCAGCTTATTGCCTGCTACTCCACATCGGGAAAGACACCCAATGGCAAAGTCTACCAGTCGGCCATCGATGCAGTGGCCGATGTTCAGGATGGGGCCAAGATTCTGTTCGGCGGCTTTGGCATCTGTGGCATTCCAGAGAAGATGATTGCTGCTCTGAAGCAGAAGGGCGTCAAGAACATTACCGGAGTGTCCAACAATGGAGGTAGGTGGTGGCAGAACTTATGCTAGATTTTCTTAACACGAGTCCCCCTGCTCCTTTCAGGTGTTGATGACTGCGGTCTGGGTGTGCTGATCAAGCAGAAGCAACTGAGCAAACTGATCGCCTCGTATGTGGGCGAGAACAAGGAGTTGGTGCGTCAATATCTGGCCGGAGAACTGGCCATGGAGCTGACGCCGCAGGGCACGCTGGCGGAAAAGATTCGTGCGGGTGGTGCTGGCATTCCCGCCTTCTACACGCCCACTGGCTACGCCACTTTGGTCCAAGAGGGCGGTGCACCCGTTAAGTATTCGAAAGATGGCAAGGTGGAGATTTATAGTGAGGAGAAACCCGTGAAGGAATTCAACGGACGCAACTACGTGATGGAGGAGTCGATCTTTGCTGACTTTGCCTTTGTGAAGGCTCAGAAGGCGGATCCCCTGGGCAATTTGGTGTTCAACAAGGCTGCCAGGAACTTCAATGCACCCATGTGCCGTGCCGCAAAGATAACCGTGGCCGAGGTGGAGGAGCTGGTGCCCGTGGGCGCTCTCTCACCCGATGAGATCCATGTACCCGGCATCTATGTGAAGCGAATCTTCAAGGGCACCGACTATAACAAGCGCGTGGAGCGTCTGAGGATCACCGAGCCACAGGATCCCAGCAAACCCGCTGCTCCCGCTAGTCCCGGACAGGCACTGCGCGAGCGCATCGCTCGTCGTGTGGCGCTGGAGTTCCGTGATGGCATGTACGCGAATCTGGGCATTGGCATGCCCGTCCTCTCCTCCAACTACATACCCAAGGGCATGAACGTGCTGCTGCAGTCGGAGAATGGCATTTTGGGCCTGGGTCCATTCCCCACCAAGGACCAAGTGGATCCCGATCTGATTAATGCCGGCAAGGAGAGCGTCACTGTGGTTCCCGGCGCATCATTCTTTGGCTCCGATGACAGCTTTGCCATGATTCGTGGCGGTCATGTGGATATAACCATTTTGGGTGCCATGGAGGTCTCCGCCACGGGTGATCTGGCCAACTGGATGATTCCTGTAAGTCATCAGATTATTCCCACAGACAAATTCTCACCCAAAAAATGTCTCGTTTTTTCTTTTCTGTTGCAGGGCAAACTGGTCAAGGGAATGGGTGGTGCCATGGATTTGGTAGCTGCTCCCGGCACCAAGGTGATCATCACAATGGAGCACAATGCCCGCGATGGTTCGCCCAAGATTTTGGACACCTGTTCGCTGCCTTTGACCGGCAAGGGTGTCATCGATCTGATCATTTCGGAGAAGGCCGTTTTCGAGGTGGAAAAGGGCGTGGGTCTCACCCTGATTGAGGTCGCCGAGGGCTATACCGTCGACGATATAATCGCCAGCACTGGGGCCAAATTTACCGTCTCTCCGAATGTCAAGACAATGGGACAGATTGCGGTTTAAAAATGCCCGGAAGCCTACAGAGGCTATGTGGTTAGTTGGTTGAAGGTAACATACTTGAGTGATATTTTAGTGCATTTATTTTGTTTTGATCGTGTGACATAAACGTTTCTGTTATTGAATATAGTTTTTCGATGCCTTCTAATGGGCCGTGTTGCGTTGCGCTGCGAGAGCTATCCCATGGCCTTGGCCATGTTCTTGAGTGTGGCCGAGCGATGAGCGGTGCGCATCTGTTTGTTTAGAATATCGAAGATGCGATTGTACTTGCTGTCGGACTCGGTGCGACAGATGGCGCAGAACTGCGACGAGAGCACATGCATGGGACTGCGGAAGTAGAGGCTCTTCTGCATGGTCAGGCCGTTCTTGTGGTGCGACATCATGTGCAGAAATATCTCAATCACAGCCATCAACGCGCCAATGAAGAAGTTGTAGCAGAAGAGCGTCGGCACCAGGAACAGCAGATAATGCTGCCGTTCGTAGCCCAAGATGATGTTCTGCGAGCGGAAATGCAATTAGTGTAGGGAACACTCAGCGCGGTGTCTCTTCTACTTACACTGCTCACACCGTCCATGTGACAGTAGTCCTCGCGCTCATAGCCTGGCGTCGTTTTCTTCGGCTCCTTGCGTTCACCATGCTTCACGATTATGTCCAGATCACCCTGATATTTGTTCGTCATTAAGTCGTCCATCTCGTCGCAGAGGGTGCCACGGAGGCAGTGCTTGGGCACATGGAAATTGTGATGCTTGCGATAGCGCACCTTCATCTGGCCGTAAACGGGCTCGCCGGTCTCTCCATCGTAGTCGGGCTGTGTGACACGGGCGGAGTCCGTGTAGAAGTACTCCAACTCTCCAGTTTCGCTATTCTACAAAAAAAACAACAGATAAGGAGCACGATAAGAGAGCAACTTAAGAGAGCTTAAAACACCCAAAAACACATTCGTGTGGCGTGATCCCAAGTCTCGAGGCTAATTTATTTGTCTGAATAATCAAAAATTAGCAATTCAGATTTATGGAACTCCTCTAACATGAAAGTTGACTGCCTTTTGGGGAAGTATACTAAGATGATCGGTGTCCCATCACAGCTGATCAAAACAAACATTTAAGAGTAGGGTATGCCAATTTCGTGGTGGAAGAGCGACTACAAAAGAGTTCGTTCGGTCTCATCATTGGCAGGTACTCGTATATTTCAATGTTTTCGTTGTTTATTAAATGTTATCTGCCCCACACACTACCAAAAATAATACCCAAAAATAGATTTTATAAATCAATGCTGATAAGAGAGCGAGCCCCAACAAGGAGTGTGTGTGGGTGCCCACGTCTCGGATTTGTGGAGTGTGACTCTGAATCACCTGCGCAGAAGCCTTAGATAACTTGCACTATGCACCTGCTACCGGTTTGTTGCTCTTACCACCAGCATGCTTTCTGCTTTACTAAACAGAACCCACAAAAAACCAAATTGGAATACAGCCAGAACGAACCCCTCCCTCCAGTACTCGCATGCGTCTTATCAGTAGGCTTTGACCGTTGTGTGTGTGTTCTGGAGGCGATCGACAGACGGTCGGCGCTTATCATTACAGGCGCTATAGACGACGACGAGCGCCAAGACTTATCTCTCGCCCGACCGGCCTGGGGCAGCACCAGAAGAATACGCCTATTAACGGGCAATTAAGACAGCTACAACGGACAGCAGAAAATTGTAAATTACCCATGCAATTACAATGTCCTCTCTGTCTGTCTGCCGCCTTTTGTTTATTTAATTATGGGTTGCATAAGCAATGAGGAGGAGCACCAGGCGGTGGAGGGAGGCTAGCTAACTGGTTTGCGTGCCAAATGCGATTTGATCGTAATAAAAATAATACAAATTGATCTGAACAGTAATATACACTACGAGCATGGGGAGTGGAGGTATTCGCATGGCATCCGATATACATTTGTTATTGCAAAATGAAACTGGAATTTAATCAGATGTAAGCTTAAGCCTGGGTATACTAAGAATCAAGAGTTTTGTAAGCAATTAAACTGATCTTTAGGAATAATAATGAATGGATTACGAGGATAGCAAAATAGATCTCTAGTGATATTTCAAGTATGGGAAGATGCTGGGGGTATACAAAAATGTATGTTTGGTGGAGTGAAAGTTTTAGGGCATAGAAACTGGTTCTGCAGATCTTGCTTTTGCGAACACAGATTTATTGTAGAGTAACTAAAATTCCACATAATAGTATCCAGAAATATTTGTTCGTACCGATACTAATTACACTCAATCTACATGCAAATTTGCAACTTTATAGCTCTATTCCAATCATCCTCTGTTGATCTTGGGGGAAATAAAATTATCTAATCAAAAACAAAAACTAAAAAAAATAATTAAGGTTTTCTCAAGTGCAAGGTAAACAAAACGAGAAGGAACGTGTGAGTCGCTTCTTTGGACGCGACTCTACTTTACAGTGTGATATCACATGAGTCTGGAAACAAAATTTGCTTGCTCTAGCTCTTATAGTCTCTGAGATCTAGGCGCTCATCAAGACGGAAAGACGTACAGACATAGACTCGGCTATTGATGCTAATCAAGAATATACTTTATGGGGTCAGAAACGTTACACTTACATCCACTTTTACCACAAATACAACATACCCCTTAAGATAGAGGGAGTGGCAAAAACGAGCTACCGTTCTTGGAGTATTGGAGTACACCTGTACAGGTGTCTGTGCACTTGAGATACCTGTACAATATAAGGACACCTTTTTTCCAGCAAAAATGTATGTAAAGCCTTTTAGCTGGTACAACAGAAAAAGATTGTAATGACAGATAAGCCAAATGGAAATGGAATGGACAAAGGAAAAAACAAGGCCAGTCAATGGCACCAAATCAGTCTAATGTTGATAATCTACGGGCGGCTACACTACACTATATATTATACCAGTGTCTAGCATTATAATTAATTAATTAATATGTAGTGTAATTAACTGGGATTTTTTTATATATTTTTTTTGTTTTCGTCTGGGGGCTCCTAATGGGGTTTTGGGTTCAGTTTTAGATTCAATTTAAACGTAATTACCAACGGAATAGCTGCTACTATGTACCGCTCCCTCTCTTTCTTTAACAGTTTACACCACCGACTCTCTTAGCGGATGAGGATCATCTCCATGTTCGATTCGAGACATATGTATGCCTCCTCCTTTCTCTGACTTACTCTCTTTCTCACTCTTTTGCACTCACCGTAATGGAATATCCCATGGCTGTCGTCTGTCTGTGTGCGCTGCGGCCTGACACCAAAGCTCTTTTTTATTTATTTTTATTTAAATTTAGCTATAGCTGTAGCCCTTCTGGTATTACCTCAAAACAACACATATACATATAAATATTGTGTATAGATGTGCCTGTGGATTTTCACTTCACTGGAAATTTATGCAAACGCAAGCAAGGGAAAAACTGAATTTGTTGTGGAAAATTTGGAAACCGGTTGATGTCGGCTCGTTGTTGCTGTTGTTGTTTTTCTTCTTCTCGCATTTGTTTTGGTTACGTTACGGGGTGTACTCGAGGGATAAGATTTTCGCAGAATAGCAATTAAATTAGCATAGCACACTAGCACACAATTTATAGCATTAACTTGTCGTTTTTTGTTGTTAATTTTAGGCTTTGTTTTAAATTTTTTTAGGGATTTTACACAGTCAAAGCTTTTTTAAAACGAATGAAATACGATTGGAGCGGCGAGCTGTTACTTTCTTATTTGTTTTCCAATTGGGAATTAATAATATTTTCCAGCTGAAGGGGAACGGTATTCATGAAATTCCCATTTGGATTATTTTAGTAGAGGTGTCAAACCATCGAGGGAACTATCGATAGTATCGATGTTTTGCTGCAATCCTAAAAGGTTTCAATGGTTTCAAAACAATTTGTCTTCACGGTGGTCGGCACGGGTGGCGTCGCCATCTGCTGCTGCTGATAGTCAGACACATTACCTTGCCAATAAAATATTGGGGAGCCCAGGATATGCCTGGGGAAGAGCGGCCCCAGCCGAAGAAGTGCATTTTGTTAACTTTAAACAAAACCAAGCAGCGGTCTGAGCAGTGATACCGTTTGGAATGCAGTGCACACCTCTGGTCACACCACTGGTCGCTCGAAAAATATATGACATCTGTTTGCTAGCAAACAGTTTTTCGATCTGAGTACTAGGCTTTTCCAATAATTATTTGAGCCCGATATTATTACGATAGCATCGATTGTTTTTTTCAAAACATACAAAGTTGATTTTCCTCGATTTTGATATTCCTCGATTTTGATATTCCGTTTAATATTACTAGCTAGCTGGGAATCTCAGCCCTAAACAAATAATTTTATCCGATAGATACATAAATTTTCCACAAATAGGAAGAAGAAGAATACAAATTTTCCACAAATAAGAAGAAGAAGAAACCCCACTGCGGAAAATTTTTCCGCAGTATTTTTTGTGCGCTAAATGAGTTTGGCGGTCATTTTCAAAAAATACCGCAAAGAGTCAGAAGCTGTAAAATAGTTAAAATCAAAGCTTGGTTGTTGTCACTGCTAAAGCTTTTTTCAAATAAAAATCAAAATAAAAATATGAAGTCGAAACGTATTTGTTAATTAATTACTGAACTTCAGGCGGGGGTTCAAAAATAAAGCCAAAAACTGGTTAAGGCTTTCATTCTGGTTTACTTTTGTTTGCTTTTTGGTTCCACCACACAAAGTGCATATAGTATTTGGCGACTTCGTTTTGGCGACGTTCGTTCGTTCCTCTGCCTCTGCCTCTGCCTCTGCCTCTACCCACCCCCCACACCAAACACCTCAAACGTTTCTGATCTTGGTATCGTATAGCCCCCCATAATTATCTTTTTAAAGATTATCAGCATGTTTTTTTCATGAACGAGAGGTTTTCGAGCGGCATCGACGGGGATCCAAAATTTAGTATCCGCCCGGTCGGCCCAGCACTCGGTTCTCCGCTTGAAGAAGATCCCTCTTTTTTCCCTCTATACTATAGACCCCTCTATACCAGGAAATCGCAATCGCTTAGTACACTGTATAGCTGTTGTCTTTCATAGAGGGTTTATCGTTGTGTGATAAAAGATTTATACGATTCAGCTAAAATAGTAGTAGCTTTATCAAATACTCGTCGTCAGCTACTTTCGGGCAGGGCACCCACCCACCTATCACGACGATGCAGTGAGTCTTCATCCATTATCATAATATAAATCTTTAGCCCAACCGATCGAGATCTCAGTTAAATCGTTAATATTTTTTTAATAGTTTGGGGATGATTTTTTTTTTTGTTTATCTGGAGAGCCCACACTCAGGGGGGTTTATTATTGTTATTGTGGGGCTTGCAAAACACTTATCAATCAATCAAGAGCGCTTCACAAACAAGTTCTGATTGCCATCTTTATTGATAGGACTGATACAAAAACTGTGGCCATCATATACAACCCGGCAACAACTGGGGAATCAGCGGGCCCAATAAAACCCACGAATGCCAGCAACGATGATTACGATCCGCATCTGAATCGGAATGTGAAGAATCCCACAACGTAAGTCGAGAGTGTATTATTTTTCCATGGAATATTTTCTGAGGTTACTTACCCATTGACATTATCTTTTCTTTAGGAACGGCCAGACCTTTGCACATTTTCTGAAGGCATCTGTGGGCACTGGGGTGCTGGCCATGCCCAGTGCCTATTCGCATGCGGGCTATGTGAATGGAACGATCTTCACATTGATTATAGGGCTGCTGGCGCTGTATTGCTTGCATATATTGGTGGGTTGGGTACACCCCACTTGGTAATATATCTGATCAGATAATCATTATACATACATATATTCCCCCTGCAGATCGATTGCATGTATATCCTGTGCAAGCGTCAGAAGGTGCCGTATGTCAGCTTCTCGGACGCCATGAATCTGGGCCTCAAACAGGGTCCGCCAGGACTGCGCTGCTTGGCGCCCATTGCCATGTGAGTTTCATTCTTTTGTGGCATAATCCCTGAGCCCTAACCTCTAATGGGATCTCTTGCAGACCCTTTGTGGATGGCTTTCTGGCCTTCTATCACTTTGGCATCTGTTGTGTCTATGTGGTGTTCATTGCGGAGAGCATTAAGCAGCTGGTGGATGAGTATCTGGTGGTGTGGGATGTTCGTCTGCATATGTGCCTGCTGATTGTGCCCCTCCTGTTGATCTACAGCATCAAGAATCTGCAGGTGTTGGCTCCCTTTTCCAGTGCTGCCAATTTGCTGCTGCTTGTGGGTGAGTCCCCCCCAAAAACGATTCGCACAACACCCATTTACCCATCTGACATATCTGTGTTTAGGCTTTGGCATCATTTTGTATTACATCTTTGATGATTTGCCGCCGTTGAGTGAACGTGCGGCTTTTGTGTCCTACACGGAGTTGCCCACCTTCTTTGGCACTGTGCTGTTCGCTCTGGAGGCTGTGGGAGTGGTAGGTCATCCCACCCAGCCATCACTTTATGTATATTGAAATTTTATCAATAGTTTTACTTCGTCTTCTTGTGCCTTGCTAGATCCTTGCCATTGAGGAGAACATGGCCACGCCGGGTGACTTTGTGAAGCCCTGTGGCATCATGAATTGGGGCATGTCCATTGTGCTGGGCCTCTACGTGCTCTTGGGATTCTTCGGCTATTGGAAATATGGCAATGAGTCGCTTGGCAGCATAACCCTTAACATTCCACAGTCCGATATGTAAGTATTGCTTTGTTATTAACATTATTTTTATGTGTACTTGAAATGTATTTACCTACAGACCCGCACAGGTGGTGAAGATCTTCTTTGCCATCACCACTTGGATATCGTATGCGCTGCAGGGCTATGTCACGGCCCACATACTGTGGGGCAAGTACCTGAGCAAACGCATCAAGGACACCAAAAGGCATTCCCTATACGAACTGATGTTCCGGGCCGTCACTGTGCTGCTGACATGTAGGTGGTTTTCCCCCTGATGATTTTTCAGCTTACTCTAACTCAGTTTTCTCCTCCTTCCTGCTGCAGTTGGCTGTGCCATTGCCATACCAGATCTTTCCGTCTTCCTGTCTCTGGTGGGCTCATTTTGTCTCTCGTTTTTGGGTCTCATCTTTCCCGCACTGCTGCAGATCTGCGTGCAATACGAGCATGGCTATGGCCCGCTACGCATAAAACTAATCGTTAATATTCTGCTGCTATGCTTTGGCGTCTTTGGTGGCGTTGTGGGCACCTATGTGAGCATTTTGGAGATCGTTGCGGTGTACAAATAAACACGCGGACACAAATTTGATTGAGTTGTTGTGTGGCAAAGCCCTTGGCCAAGGCTTCGGACTGTGTTTTTCTTGGGTAAACTTTGTTGCAGCAACGCACACACACACACACACACACACTAACTGTAGCAAGTTGGTTTATGGCCAACATATCAAACATGGCCAGAATCAAGAGTCAAGCCAGCCAAAGTAGACCAAATATTTTTAATTTTAATTAAAAGCTTAGCACAGGTCTCCTGCACGTGGAACGCAGGTAATGCGCGTGGCACGTGCAACCAGAGGAGTAGCAAGCGAAAAAGGGCGTAGCAAATGCAAGAGAGAGAGAGAGAGAAAGAGAGAGAGATGTGTGGTGTGGGGTGCGGGCTGCGGAAGATGGTCAACGTTGCAACGAACTGTAATTAAATGCAACCGCAATTAACACAAAAGCGCCGCAGGTCAGAAAGCCAGACACAGGACTCGGGACTCGGGACTCGCAACTCGGAACTTCCACCCCTCTGCCTCTCTGCCACACCTTTACCCCTCTGCCCACTCTACTGTTGCTCCCCCACCCCACCCCTCTACTCTGTTGCAGCTCCCCTGGACTACCTGTCCTGGAATCCTCTTGCATTTTATTTACAATGTTTTGCGCTCAGGATGTTACTGAAAACCCTTCTGGCTTCTGCCTTCTGGCTACACCCCCCACTTACAGTACCCCCTTGCTCTTGCTGTCTCGTGTGAAGGCCACAGAGAGAGAGAGAGAGCCGGACCAAGCCACAATGACCGCCGGGGCCTAAGAAGCCGGCGATGAAGCCAAATGGACAAATGCCGGAATGTCAGAGTGAGGTGCGCTGCAGGAGTTTGCAAGGAATTGGAATTTAATGGGGGCAGGGTAGAGGGTAGAAATCCGTATGCATAAATTGCAATATTCCCAATGAATGTATGTGAACTGTGACCAATCCAAAGGCTCTTTGTGATCAGAGTAATATAATCTTAATTGATTCCCACCTCGAATTGCTCCAGCAACCCTCGCTGTTGTCTGCTGGCTGCCATTTAGCCGCTCTCCAGGCCGGGAATGTGTTGAAATGTCGTTTGCTTTGTGCGTTTAATTACTCTTTTGACGGAAATAACACAACATTCGTGCACTAGTATTCGAAATTGGCAACAACAAAATGGACCACAGCCACAGAGCAAAAGGGAGAGAATAAAAGCGGCAAAGCGAAAAGGTCCAGAGAAAAGCGAAAAGAAAAATCCAAAGGAATATGCAGCAGGAGATAGAGAAATTGGAGAAAAAAAAAAAACACCAAATTGGTAGCACAATTGGAGTACTAGAAAAGAGGGAAAAATGCAGCACAGCTTCGCGGGAAACTGCAGACTCCGCAGCAGGAGCAGGAGCAGGAGAGCAAGAGAATTTGAAACCAAAAAACATTCAGGACACTTTGGCTTGAGCGAGCAAAGAAGAAGCCGTAGCCAACGCCAAAGCCAATGCCGTGAAAAAGTATCCCATGGATTCGCCTCAGTTCCTCCGTTTCCATCTTGAATTTGCGCAGCTTTTAGTCACCCTTCATCAATTTGGCTCAGAAATAGCTTCGCTTTGACCAGCATGGAGCCAGCAGCAAATTAAATGACAAGTTTTACTCTTGTGCTGCTACGCTTTTATTTATATTTTTTGTCCGCTGGTCCACGGCTGGTAGTGCCTGGCAGCAGGACGATTTTAATTATATTTGTGCAGGCAGCCAGGCAGCCAGGCAGTCAGGCAGCTTTTAGTGCTTCCGGTCAGTTGATTCCGAAACCAGCTCCCCTTGGGGCTTAGGGCAATTGAATTACGCACAATTCCAGGTCCCCTCCACAGGTAGCAGTCAGCCATGGAACACATGGCCATGGATCGGCTGGGGCAACGCTATTGAGACCACTTCAAATGCGTAAAAGTTAATTATGGAATGTCATGAATAAATTCCCCCCAACCACCCACCGCATCAAATGGAGTAATTTAATCCAGCCATGTGGCTGCAGGGACATTCGCATACTCGTAGTAATTTTACGATTATTTATTCGACGAGTACTCGAATTTCTTTCGCATTTTAAATTTAACATTTTGCCTCATTATAGCATCCCAATTTTTGTGTGGCTTATTTAATACAGTTTTTAGCGATTTTCTGTTGTTTTATAAACTCCTGCATTGAAAGTGCTTTATTTGGTTCATTTTCGGGTTTTAATTTTGTGTACTTTTTTTAGTGTTTTTTTCTTTTTTTTTTTAGCTTAAATACTGTTTAATTGTCGATGTGTGTTTTCAGTTGGAATAAATTATTTCGCTGTGGCTTAGGGTTCGTTTGCTTTTTTTGTTTGGTTTTGTTTTTTTTTTTTGGGTTTCCACTTGACTTGGCAGCTGGTTTTGTTTTCGTATAAAATTTATTATTCTATGTGTGTTAAAAAAGGTTAAAAAGGAGAAAGCAGATTCATTTGTTTAATATTATTTTATGGGTTGAAAGTAGGTGTATATCTAGCTGTAATCTGTGTTAATTTCAGTCAGCTGATTTGCAATTGATTGGCAACTGCAAAAACAAAAACAAAAACATTTTTAAGCCATAAATTACTTTATTTTATTTTCTATGATTGCGAATTGTTTTTTAACTTGTTGCATATTTCAGCATTCCACTATGCAGCATATTTCCAGCTGCTTAAAAGTTATTTGTATTTGTATCCATATGCTTCAGAGCTTCCTTAACTGTTCCTTAACCTTATCTCTATCTATTTTAATATATTCAAAACTTCATAAATATTTCTGCTCTGCCACAAGTTTTTCATCTTTCTAGTTACTCCTCAAAAAGTTTTCTATTAGAAATTCCCTTGGAAAATGTACACAGAAAAATGTTGTTGAACTGACTTGCACAGAAATTAGCCAAAAAGTTTTTGCTCCTAAACTTTCTAGAATAAACCTTTCAGCTGCCACTAGTAAAAATTTCCACTGCACATTTTCTTGAAGCGCTGCTCGTGTGGCCGCTTATCTTTATTCAGTTAATTTCCCCATATAATCTTTAGCATTTCCCGCCACACTTTTCAGTCGAAATTGAGAGCCAGCTAAGCTGGCTTATCACACACACAGATGATCTACCCCCCACCACCATTTCCTCCTTCTAAGTGTGTCTACATGCTGTGTGAAGTTTTTGCACACTGATTTCCACTGCTTAATTTGGCTCTTGGGCACAAATGACTCATTTTTATTCATTCAACTAATTTTTTGGGGGCTTAACAGAGAAGAACCGAGGAGAGGAGATTTCCGCTGGCAATTTGTAGCAGGCAATCGCAGGCATCTCTCCGCCCTTCTACCCTTCTCTCCCTATCTGCCCCTCTGACTGAGAGAGATTCTCTATGATTCGCTTACTCTGTCTCTCTGTCTCTGTGTCTCTCTGTCTCTGTCTGTTTGTGTGTTTACCGCAGCAAAATGATTTATTTTACGCTACGCTAAACACACACGTACCCGCACCCCTGCCCGTACCTCTGAAAAACAACAACAAGATGTGGGTTTGGTGGGGCTTTGGATGCTTGTTAGATGATGGCAGCGAGTGCGAGAGGGTGCGGAAAGGGCAGGGGTAGGGCATGGGTAGGGGTAGTGGCTGGCTGCAGAGGGGCAACAATAGCGACAACCGACAAGCGACGCATTGTTACTGCGGCCGGGGCCTTACGCTTCGGTTTTTACACTGAGGTTTCGTTTCGTATTTATTTAAGCCGAAAAACATTTTGTACATTTTCATGCAGCCATCAGCACCCCCAAAGGGGGAAGGGGGGGGCAGGGCAGAGCAGAGAGCATGGTGCCACATTGAGTAGTAACATTTGCTATGAATAAATAACGAACGAACAAATGAATGAAGGAAGCAAACGAACGAACGAACGAACGAACGAATGAATGAAGGAAGAAATAGATGGATGACGACTTGTCTCAACGGGTTCTCATGTGATTTATGCCTTGAATACATGAAACTATAATAAGGACAGACCCAAAGGAGAGAGGGTTAAGGTGGCACAGCAGCAGAGAGGGAGGGTTAAGGTGGCACAGTAGCAGAGAGGGAGGGTTAAGGTGGCACAGCAGCAGAGAGGGAGGGTTAAGGTGGCACAGCAGCACAGTAGAGGATTAAGGTGGCACAGCAGCAGCACATAGGCAGGGTCAAGGGAGCACACCAGCACAGTGGAGGGTCAAGGGAGTGCAGCAGCACAAAGGGAATGCCATAGAGAGGGTCAAGGAGCACAGCAGCTGTAAGAGAGAGAGAGAGAGAGAGAGAGAGAGGGCGGGCTTAGGAGTATCCAATACAAGGGAGGACAAGAGGCCTTCCCCAATGCGACTATCCCCATTGATTGGCCGCTAATATGGTGGTCTCGTACCTGCAGGAAGAGCAACTCCCTTGGGAGTTTTGCTAAAAATAAAACCCATCGACAGCAGCAGCAGCAAACAAAAAGGGATCATTGTTATGTGTGCCACATGGCGTATGTGTGATATGGATGAAACAGCTGCCCCACAACGAGTCCCGCTCTGTCTCTGTCTGTCTGGCACTGGAGCTGGCTCTGGGGTTTTTGTCTTGTTTCAGGGCCGTTGCAGGTGCGTTAAACATTTATGAGCGCAGATTTTCCACAGCGAGCGAGCGAGAGAGAGAGAGGGAGAACGGGTTAGCCACCGAAATGATTATGAATACACCCTCATGCAGCATGCATAATTCATCATATTAAAGTGACCCCGTTGCGTATACGCAATAATCATACGTCAGCTGGCACACACGTCAGCAGGCCGGGTGGCTCTTTATACTCTATAAGGTAGTTAAAGTTCCCCAGAGGGAAAGGTGTGGCACAGCCGCGCGCGGTGTGGCTGCGCTGGAAATGCGTTTACGATGACCTTGAAGGAGCGTTTGATAGTTGCCTAATTTACGGATTTCACTGACAGCTGCAGCTAGTTATTGACCGACTTTATTTAGCAGACAAACAAACAACAAACTGTGGAAACTGTCCTGCTGCAGAGACTTCTGTTCTGTTCTGATACTCCCAATGTTGCTCCTCCTGTTGCTGCTGCTGCTGCTGCTTTTCTCACTTCTTTTGCTGCTCGCTCTGCTGATGGCTTTGTTCTTCAGCTTCGACTTCTGCTGTTCACTCTCATAGCTCTTTCCCTGTCCATTTGTCTTCTGCTGTTGCTTCTGCTGCTCTCCTAGTACATACTGTTCCTCCTGCTCCTTTACCTGAAACTCCTTCAGCTACTGCTGCTGCTGCAGCCCCTCTGGCTGCTCTTCCCATTTGCTCCTGCTTATGGGTATCAGTTCTGTGTCTTTTACACATGAAGAAGACATATACGAGTGTCTGCTGCCTTCAGCCGCACTGCCATCGGAGTTAGGGCTTCTTGCCACTACGGTGCATTCGTACCGTAGCCGACACCTTCTCGTATTTGATCCCGTGGTCAGCTTTGGGCTTGCGATATGTCACAATGCCTTCAAACTTCAATTGCTGAAATTTCGGCTCCATATATTTGTCAGAGTTACTCGCATCGGCGCTCTCCTCCTTCTTGTCTTCGGCAACAGCTTCCTCTAGTTTCTTTACTATGTGCCAGGTCTTGCGACGCGGCACCTTAGCTCCTAGTGCCGGGATTTTGCTTGTCATTTTCACCTCCTCTTTTGCCTGCTCGCAGGCAGAACCTTTGCGTTTTTCTTCGCATTTTGCAGCTTTTGGATTGTATTTCGATTCGATTTCTTTTGGGATCGGCGGCTGTTCTTCGGCTTTTGCTTCTTTACGGCGTTTTGCCAGTTGATTGGCCTCTTGAATGAGTCGTATGTATGAATGTCGAGGAGGAATGGGGTAGGCATACACGACGACCTGGTTATTTTTGTCCTCCGGCTCCACCGGGAACTTGTTGGCATAGTCCTCGGGGTCCGCTAGAAACTTATTGGCGTAAGTCCTCTGCAGTGGCGGTGCTGGAAAGACAATACAATAGGATATAGAATATAGGGCTTTCATTCACGGAGTGGACACATCTTCGCAGGGCATGTACAGGACTATCCATTGTGGGACTAAAATTTCAAAGTTCTACTTACGTGTGGGCCGATTTGCGACGGCCCGACAGAGGCCAGCAGCAGACAGATTTAAGAACTTTTTAAACATCACAGAAAATTTATAAAACTAAAATTGAAATGAAAAAAAATTACTACACGCTTAATTTAAAAAAAAAAAAACAGTCAAAAATAGATGAGAGAACGAACAACTGAACAAGTGAAGCATTACTGAATGCTGGAGCCTGAACTGGGGAATTGTTCAAAAGTCAAAAATCGAAAACTACTTTGGTCCTGGGGCAAAAAACATAACAAAAGCTGTGCTGGTGTACGAACCTGTTGCCTTATGTCAAAGGACATTGAACTATTGGCAAGTGAAAGAGGTAGGTGGATTTCGTTGAGTGATATCCAGCCGCGCTGCCCCCTTGCCACATGTTTGCCATAATTCAATGGCCTGCGCTGCGATTGCGGCCAGCTGAGAATTTCCAAAGAGAGAGGTTGAGAAATGAAAGCAAGTGGATGAAGACTGAGCCACCTGAGCAGTGGCATAGTGACAGAGAGACGATTGAGAGACCTTCAACTGTGTGTGTGTGTGTGTGCGACACGGCGGCCTGATGAAGCTCAATCGATAAATGGGATTCTGCTCTGCTCTGGGGCTTCTTCATGCTTTGGCTGCTACTTCTCTGCCCATGGCACTGGTGCTGCGCTTTTTTTTATTGTTGTTGTTTGTGTTGTTGTTGTGTGTCGCCGATTGAGGGAACAATTGCGAGATGTTGTGCCAAGATGAATTGCCTGCAATTGTGCGCATTGCTAGCCATTTGTTAGCCAACACGAACAAGAAACAGAAAGTGGCAATAGCTTTGAAGGCGAAGCTTGGGATACCCTTAAGGGTATCTGCCATACTACCGCAAGATGCTTGCTTTCTATTACTGAAACTCCTCGGAAAGGGTATGCCAACGACCAGTGACAGAGCGACAGAGAAAGCGGCATGCCAACATCAACAACCAGAACAGATTTCCGAATCAAGTCGACTTTAGAGCCGGGCTTAAGGTCCCCTTGTCGTCGCCTCCATCGCAGCGCCAGCCGATAAGGGGCCAAAAGCATTTGACAATGGGCCTTAGAGGATTTCCCTCCCCCCCAAAGACAAATCGCTGCATGTGTGACCAAGCGCGAAGAGATGTGATGGGGGGCCCTAGCAGCACCATTAATAATTATGGTTATGGCCCTTTTTTGGGGCCGTCCAGTGCAAATGTTAATGGGCTTTCGGTGCCTGGTTCAAATCGATTTTCATGGCTTTTGCCCGTTTGGCAATCTTTTGGCTCTGTAAATTGGAAAATACACACAAATACGATAGGTCCACGAAAGAGAGAGAGAGCGAGAGAGAGAGAGAGGATATAGTGGCGGAGCAGGGGAGCAGCAAAAATGTGACCACTAATTAGCCAAAAAACATTGTCATAGCATTTGGCATATGCTGGGGCATAAATAAACCAAGCCAAATACATATGCATTTACATTTACATATACATGCACTCGTAATACACACACACACATATGTATATATATTTTATTGCCTTTTTGGACGTGGAATTAACCCCGACTTAACCCCGGGAAATCGCATCGCATCGCATATCATTTCCATGGCCCACAGCCAGTAAGTGGGTCACAGTGGGTTGCTACATTTGTAATTCATTAGAGGGTGGAGCCAGGGGGGAGGAGGCAGGGAGTGTCAGTGGGCTAAGCAAACTATTAGAGTGTTAATGGAAAATATCTGTGAATAATCGCAAGAGATAAATAAAAGATGCCATTGATTTAGTTTATACAAATTGTATGCCGTAAATCTTTTCAAATGGATTTTAATTAACCCCAAAAAGCAGGCAATCGTTTAGTGGAAAAGCCACCCCAAAACTATGTCGAAAATTTACTAGAAACTTAACTAATAAATAAATAAATAATAAAAAAAATATTTAAAATATGCATAAAATAAATTACAACTTTTTCCATTTAGTTATTTTATTATTTTTTTGTTATTATAATTTCTATTAATTCTCTCAGCTTGTTTTTCTGTCAGTGCAGCGCCACTTTGTCCATCAAAAAATCGATCTATCAAATTAGAAATCATGCCATGGAAATAATAGGCTGCCATTTGAAATCTGTGTGCCAAATGCGAATATATTTCAAATGAGCAACGGCAATGCGCTGCCCAGCCATAATTAAGCTTCAAAGTGCGCCCACCCCATTTCTTTTGTATCTCTTTGCCATGAGTGTAAAGTTTAAAGCATTATTCTCGACTAGCTATCCCTTAGCTATTATCCTTTCAAATCAATTAAAAGCTGCTCTTTCCACGTCGCTGCTTTTATTTCATTTAGTGTGAAATTTCTTTCCAAAATTTAAGTATTTGTGGCACCAATTAAACCCAAAAACTGGCTAAAATGAATTATAAAATATTGTTTATTTTTGTTTGCCCCGAATGCATAAGTGCAGCCGCGCTAATTAAATAAAATTATGCAATTGCTTTTACATTTTGTGGCTGTTCAAATAGCGACACCGATCGCCCAAAATAATTTTCATAATTTTAAATGCGATTTTACGCTGTTTTTCCGGCGGGGTGGGGGGTTAAAAATAAACAAATTGCTAATGTGTGTGTGTGTGAGAGAGGGAGGGATGGGGCAGAGGGCCAGAAAAGCCAATGAAGTGTACTGAATTATTTGGCCAAGCGAATTGTCCAAATGGGCCGTGATAAACTCTCGCATTTTATTGCAGGTCCTCGCCCCAATCTCGCCCCATGCATATCTATGAGGGATCTATGGCACACAGCAGCAGCAGCAGCAGCAGCACTCTCTCTCTGTCTCTCTCTCTGTTGCTCCTTAACAAATAAGCATTTCCCTTTTGGTAATTCTGTTTTGGCATAAAGCCAAAGATAAATGGCAAATTCCAAATGCCAAACAGAAATATAACCAAGCGAGAAGGTCAACGCAGACACACAGAGAGAGCGAGAGAGAGGGAGAGAGAGGGAGGGAGAGAGCGAAGAAGTATAACAAATCTTTCGCTAGTTGTATGGCACTCTGCATTCCTACAGAAGAGGAGGTCCTGTGCTGTAGCTGGACCTCCTCGAGGGTCGGATTTATGTGCGCTCATGTCACTGCACACAAAAAGTTAAACAGCGCGCAACGGAAGTGCGACAACGAGAACAGCCAGACACAGTAGGAAGCTACTACGAAAAAAAAAAAATAAAAAAAAAACACAACAATCTGCAACAGTAACAGGAACAGGAATAGGACCCCCCCCCTCACCCAAGCCGGATAGGAGTACGGACAGGATCGAAACAATCAGGAAACTGGCCTCCGCTTCTGGCAACTGGCACTGGCAACTGGCAATTGCTACGAACTCGCTCGACGCGCTCTCATTATCGTGAAACACCCCGTGGAATATATTTTACATTAAGATGAACGAGTTTAAGCATTAAATAATGACTTGGAGATGCACTTTCGCATAAATGTGTAAGTTCTGCTTAAAGCGGAATTATTGCCGATTTATTAGATGCTAACAAATATGAGAAACAAATAGAAATAATTGTTCTATAAATCGCATATTCCCTTTTCATAGCCAACATTTTTCTAGAGCATCATATGGCGATGCCTGAAGTGATTGCCGTAACAGATTCGAATAAAAACAGCATCACAAAATGAGAAATAATTGATGCTTAGAGCACAATTTCAGGGGTGTGCCTGCCACCCATGGAGTTTCCATGCAGATTGCTTGTTGCCTTAGCTCTTAGCCCGCATACCCTTTATCCCCTTTTATTAAGTGTGTCAACTAGTTTTATTCCGCCTGAAGGCCAGAGAGAAGGCAACAGCAACAGAAGGCAGCAACAGCAACAGCAACAGAAGGCAATGGCAGAGGCAGTGGCAGCAACAGAGCTAGACAAAGAGTCATAGAAGTCATCATTCCACACCCATTGCCCCCGCCCAACCTCTTGCTGCAATAATACCTGATCCCCTGGGCCAACCAGAGTGTATGTGAAATGCTGCAAAAAAAGAAGCAAAAAATATATTTAAAAAAAAAAAAGAAAAGAAATAGTGGAAAATTTGCCAACATTTTCACTGAATTTGCAGTGTATTTTTGTTGTTGCTGCTGTTTGTTATTTCTAGAGCCAACTTCCGTTGCCTGTTGACATATTTCCACTTCATTGGAGGAAACAGAGTCAAATGAAGAGGACACACGGCAGACGACAGACAGTGCCGCGAGGCGGCACACGACACCAGGGGACTCATTCAGGTGTGCAGAATGGGGCAGGGCAGGGATTTGCAGGGACTGACAGCAATGAAGACGAACGGATGGATACACCCAAGGGCCAGGGCCAGGACCAGCACCAGCAGCAGGCCCGCACTAACGACAAATATTTGACACATGGCAGAGGAGGCAGTCCATGGAGAGGAGTGGCAGTCCGCGGAGGCAGTGGAGTGGCAGCCGTTGGGGCTCCCCAACTAAAATATGCGAGACATGTGCCAGGATATGCGTGTGGTGTGCAAAAAGGAACCTCTGAGACACACACACACACCCACACAAATCCTTATTTCCTTTTCCCAAACACTTCCCTTTTTCTATCCGTCGCTTCCCCTCCTCTTCAATTACTACTTGTCACTCCTTACTCCTTTCTCCGCCCCTTTTGTCATTCATTCTTTTCTCTTTCCTTTTATTCCTGTTAGTTTTTTGTGCACATTTTAATTTGTGTCAAATTGTTGCTAAAATGCAAAACGCATTGTTCCCCAGGAGACATCCATTCGGAGTGGAGTGGGAGTGGAGCGGGAGTGGAGCCCTTTCCTACATCATTCCGTGTCCTTTTGCGCTCTCCTTAGTACGTCCTTATTCTCCAGCTCCTTTGGCCTGCTCCTGCTACTGCTCCTTCTCCATCTGCGTCTCTCACTCATTCTTCTGCCACTTCTTGTTGCCTTGTTAACACACTTTTGTGCTTTTGTTTTCATACGTGTGTTGGTGTGTGTGTGTGCGCTGCTTCTGGTTTTTATTTCTTCTCATTGTGGCATAACAAAAACAGAGACAACATAAAATAAAAGGGAGGTAGGTGTAGATTAGCATGCCGAAGCATTGGATACACTTTTGGATGCGTTTTCTCTCTTAATCAGATATGTCTGGACGTTGATATGCAATGAT